TTGAACTCCGAGGATGGAGCCTGGGACTGATGGGGCGCCCCTGGATGAAAAATGAGAACTCTTACCACCCTTGAACTCCGAGGATGGAGCCTCGAACTGATGGGGCGCCCCTGAGTTTAAAATCAGAACTCTTACCACCCTTGAACTCCGAGGATGGAGCCTCGGACTGATAGGGCGGTCCTGTCTTTAAAACCAGAAGTCTTATCACCCTTGAACACCCCTGATTTTAAAATCAGAACTCTTATCACCATTGACCTCCGAGGAAGGAGCCTGGGACTGATGGGACCCCCTGGATTGAAAATGAGAACTCTTATCACCCTTGAACTCCGAGGATGGAGCCCTGGGACTGATGGGGCGTCCCTGATTGAAAATCAGAACTCTAATCACCATTGAACTCCGAGGATGGAGCCTGGGACTGATGGGGCGGCCCTGATTTTAAAATCAGAACTCTTACCACCCTTGAACTCCGAGGATGGAGCCTTGGACTGATGGGGCGCCCCTGTTTTTAAAATGAGAACTCTTACCACCCTTGAACTCCGAGGATGGAGCCTCGGACTGATGGGGCGCGCCTGATTTTAAAATCAAAACTCTCACCACCCCTTGAACTCCGAGGATGGAGCCTTGGACTGACGGGGTGCCCTTGATTTTGAAAAAACAGAACTCTGACCACCCTTGAACTCCGAGGATGGAGCCTTGGACTAATGTGGAGCCCCTGATTTCAGAATCAGAACTCTTATCACCATTGAACTCCGAGGACGGAGCCTCGGACTGATAGGGCGGTCCTGTCTTTAAAACCAGAAGTCTTATCACCCTTGAACTCCGAGGATGGAGCCTCGGACTGATGGGGCGCCCCTGATTTTAAAATCACAACTCTATTCATGTTTATATGTATACATGTGTACATGTATATGTGTATATGTGTATGGGTAATTATGTATTCTTGTGTAGATGCATATATTTAGATGTGTATATATGTATATATGTATAAATGTATATATGTATATGTGTACACGTGTTTTGTGTATATATGTGTACGTGTACATATGTATATGTGTATGTATGTATGCATGCATGCATGCATGTATGTATGTATGTATATATATATATATATATCATATTGTATATATGTATATAAGTAATTATGTGCATGTTTATATACGTATATGTGTATATATGTATAGATGTATATATGTACATCTGTACTTTTGTATATGTACACACATATGTATGTTTTATACGTGTTATATGTATATGTGTACATATGTAGAAATGTATACATGTGTATATGTATACTTGTATATTTGTATATATGTCTATGTGCATTCGCGCTCTTGTGCCCTTGTGCCCGTATGTATGCCCTCATGCCCTTGTGCCCTTGTGCCCTTGTGCCCTTGTGCCCTTGTGCCCTTGTGCCCTTGTGCCCTTGTGCCCTTGTGCCCTTGTGCCCTTGTGCCCTTGTGCCCTTGTGCCCTTGTGCCCTTGTGCCCTTGTGCCCTTGCCGTGCCCTTGTGGTGCCCTTGTGGTGCCCTTGCCGTGCCCTTGCCGTGCCCTTGCCATGCCCTTGTGCCCTTGTGCCCTTGCGCCCTTGTGCCTGGCATCACAGGGGGACCTCTCTCGAGGCCTGGGAGGGGGGGGGGGAGGCCGACAAATCAGGTAAAATGAGGGGAAGCCGGGCAAGGGGGTGGCAAACGAACGCAAAAAACGGGTGTCCCCAAACATTTGGACTGCAGGGAGGAGGATTAGGTGGAGGGTACGTGAGGTAACCCCCAAGACGCCTGGGCCTCTGGCCTCGGCGGATATATATATATATATATATAATATATATATATATATAATATATAATATCTATAATATATATAATATATATGATATATATATATATATATAATATAATATGTTATATATAATATATATATATATATATATATATATATATATATATATGTATATGTATGTATATATATATATATATATATATATATATAATGCATATATATATATATATATAAGTTTATATAGTATATACAGTACATATAGGATGTTTCACTAAATATAGTATATATGTAGTATATATAGTATACCTAATATATATATATATATACAGTATATATACACTATATATATATATATATATATACACATACATATACAGTATATATAAGCATCTCGGCTCTTGCTGTGCTGCCCGTAGTTAAGGTCGGTGTCGGGCTGTTGCTGGTTTTGCCTCTAGATGTGCATAGATCCTACCCACGGGGTTTTTGGTTCAGGGGCACATGCCATGGATGACGCCATGGTTGCTTGTCCTTTGCATGGAAGCAATAAAATTCCACGACTGCGACTCGCTTATGGAGATGCATTGCATAAGCATGTTACGGATACATGTTTGGAACTGCTACTTGCGAGATTGCGAGTGGATTTGCAATTGCCTCTTGGAGCTAGACAAAGCCTGTTTCAAACATACACGCTGGCATGGCGGGACGCTTCCCCCTTCTGCGTCTGGCTTGAAACCTGGAATCCACTGTCGGGCGCTGAGAAAACACGGCTTTATCAGCAGACTCCTTTGCCTTTTCCAGCGTTTGCTAACGACATGCTTCATGTGGCATATCAGCAAATCTGCCGTGGACCCCTGGACAAGATGGATTGATCTTCTTGAGAGTATTCTTCGATGGCTGCGAGGTGCGTACCATATGCAGCGCATGGTATATATAGGCCACGGCGTGCACATGGTGCTCCTGGCCTGGTTTATGCCCCTGATCTTTTTACTCTTATATGCAAGCTTCCTGCAGGTTGCTTTGAGGATTCTTGAGATGATGCTGCAACCGTGCTTCTTATTTCCCTCAGTTTGCAGCTGGATAGTTTGCCTATGTCGGAGGAAAATCTGAGCCTTGATGGAGGTCCACTGGAGAGCCGTGACAGGACGAGGAGTCCTGTTGAAGGTCGCACGCTGCGCTACCTGCAGCCTTGTCCTCCGAGGGATGGAGATCCACCCAGGAAGCCTCCTAGGCCGACCCCTGTTTGTCATGATGATGCTCCAGGGCCGCGGGAGGATGAGTCTCCATATGCTCTGCCAAGCTCCCAAGACTCTGAAGAGATCACTGTGCGAGAACTGGCCGTTACAGAGAGACAACGTCGAGCCCTACATGGGCCTGGAGGATGCCTCCTCTTCAATGGCTGGCCCTTCTGCTATGGGACTAACTGTTTTGGCTTAAATGCCTCTGGCCTCTCTGACTGTTGGCAGCGCGAGGATAACAAGGTGCTCTGGCCTGTCTTCATCCAGCTTTACCTGTACCTTGTGCTCTATTCCTACGGCTGCCAGGTTCTCTACCTCCTCATTCTTCTCTGCCCCATCGGTGGCACTCTCAGACTACCTTGTGATTTTATGAGGCTATCAGCATACAGCGCTCCGACCACGACACGAGGACTTCGCAGTTCTACATCCAACGGACTGTCCTTGCATGCAAGAACGAGCCGCCTGGGTCCCAAGTCCCAGGGTGTCGGGCGCATGATTCGTTTCTCAATTTATTTCATTTTCTTTTGGATGTTCACCTGTTTACCAACAGCCTATGCCGACACAGATGCGAGGGTTGATTCTGTTTCCCGCCCAGATTCTGGAGTCCTACGGGGCAAAACTTTAGGTGGGAGAACCGCTTGCACAACGAATTCTGCAACTACAAGCACAGGCCGTCAGAAGGTCCGAAAACGAGCATACTTTCGTGCACTCCAACGTGCACAGGCTTCTGCGGATGGATGTACTACATACCGACACCGAACCCTGCGACTTTGCCCAATCATGCAGCGTCTTATGGTCACCTCCAAACCTAGGCAGACGGACCGCTCTGCTACGCCAGCTAAAAGTCCTACCAAACCTCGGGTCCGCACCCTCAGCCTAAATGTTGGTGGCATGGATTCCACTACATACGACTGCTTCATGCAATGGCTCCCGACCGCTCCCTATGACATCATAGCGCTACAGGAGGTGCATCATGGTCTTGGCAAGACATCCTCGCAGTGGACGGCGGCAGGTTGGACTTTTATCACTTGCATTGATGCTAAGCTGCGGTTTCAGGGACTAGCCACGATAGTGCGACAGGATTTTCTGGGAACTGGAGAGCTTAGCCCGGGCCGGCTTCTGCATGTTCGGCTAGCCAAAGCAGAGTACAACATAGACGTTGTTAATTTTGATCAGCATGCTTATCAGCAGTGAGATAGGGGATAAACTGCAATCTCTGCCACTCTTCGCTTATTTGCCTGGTCGCGGCACCGAATCGGCGATGGCACGTGCAGCTGCCCATTGCCGTGATGTTCGTAGCCTCTTACAGCAGCAGACGGCCACAGTTCACACGAGACGAGCTCATAAGCAACCAAAACAAGCAGCTGGAGGCATCCAACTCGCCATTGACCTTTCAACAGCTTTTGATTTGGTGCCGAGAGACATGCTGCGACAAGCTTTGCTTTGGGCCGGGGCTACGGAAACCTTGGTCGTGGCGATCCTCAATTTACATGATGTACGCAGATATAGTATACAACATCGAGGTAGACAGCAGTATATTCACATGCGTCGAGGAGTGCGCCAGGGGTGTACCCTGGCCCCTTTGCTGTGGGTGGTATGTTCGGCATACATCACGTATCAATTGCAGCAGGCATTGTCAATGGAATGGGTTCAGGATCACATTACTCTGTACGCGCATGATACTCCTCATGCTAGCTGGATGGTGTTCACCCCTGAACAGAGGGCTATGCTTCTTGGGCTTGCCCAAAGGCATTTTCCAAATCATGAAAGGGGCTGGTAGGGTGGGCCTCTTTGGAAACCAATGATTTTGGTTTTCCCATTTCTTGAAGCATTCTCTTTTTGCATGCTAGGTTTTGCATGCTCACGTCTTGCCCTTTTGAATCGTGTTGGACGATTGACATCTTTGCTTCATATCAGTTATGCTCGAGCCCGGAGGTGGGGCAATGTTTTTGTTCGGGTGGGACGCAGCCATGGATGCAGGCTGACAGCGATGCCGGTTGCTAGAGAGGGCTGGGGTCACTTCCCACCTGTCTTACGTGAGGGTTTGCAAGCTGCTTATGGACATCCGCTTGTTGCTTGGGAGCTCCTTGATAGCGACGAGGGGCTGGAGGATTTATTGGCGGCTGCAAATCTTTCAGATCCAGAGGTTACTTCGGCATGCCGTGATGCGTTGCGGAAGCTTCGGGATACTGGAGCAGGGGCCAAGAGACAAGCATACTTCCGGCAATGCACCCTCATGCGGTGCCCCAGGCTGCCGGGTTCGTCTGATGAGCTACGAATTATGCAAGACTGTTTTCAGGACATTTCTTCGGTGGTAGGACAAGTCCAGAAGAATCGCCGTCGAAGTCACCTGGGCATGTCCCTCCAGGCGGGCATAGATGATCCTGAACAGCTGGAGCAAAAGGAACGTGGTAGGTGGCAGCATGTTCTGGCAGGTTATATTGAGGAGGCTGATCTTCCTGTTATGGAGCTCATTCGTTCAAGTGAGACACCCTCTCAGGTCTGGTCCAGGATTTTTGGTAGCCGCCGTGCCAAGACACTGAGGAATCGGGCTAAAACTTGGAAGGGTTTTCATTTGTGGCTTACGTTGGTGAAGAGAACCTCCTGGCCTCAGAGTGTACTGGATGTTACAGATTATCTGGAGCATCGTATTGCCGAAGGATGTGGTGTCAGTGTCCCTAGGGATGTACTCTCTTCACTGTCTCTGCTGGAGAACGTGGGAAGGATTGCAGGGGACGGCCGTCTCGGATCGGATCCCACACTGAACGATATGGCTAAGGCAATGGGGGAGGAGCTGGAGAGAGGCGCGCCGCCCAAGAAACCAGCTAAGTTGTGCACTGTTGCAATGCTTATCTCCATGGAATTGCTTGTTATCGACGATGAAGCGGCGCCCTTCATGCGCATTCTGGCATGGGTCGGGCTGCTTATGCATTGGGGAACCCTTCGTACTGATGACGTGCAATGGTTGGATGTCTGCCGCATGGTCTTCACGGATAATGGGCTCACTCTTGTTTTGAGGCGCTCCAAGACGACGGGGCCCGGGAAGAAGGCTAGGGAGGTTCCGGTCTTTATTCTCCGGACCCTCTCCCTGTCTGGTCATGATTGGCTTCGTGTAGGATTGGAGCTATTTCAGCAGCCAGCGTTTTACTGGGAACGCCCCTACTTTGTGGCTGCACCCACTAAGGACTATTCAGGATGTGTCCGAAAGTTTCTCAAGCCAGAGCAGCTCTCATTGCACCTTAGGGGCTTGTACACGCATTTGCTGGGGCCACGTTTCGATGGCTCAGTCTGGAAGGCTGATGATTTCTATTTGGTTCCTGTGGATGTTCAGAGTTTCTGGAGTGGGCATTCTGCCCGCCACTGGCTACCTTCCTGGGGTACAGCGCTGGGGGTTCCGAAGTGCGACCTGGACTATTTAGGCCGGTGGCAGGCAGGAGCGCATCAGAGCATGGAGTACGTCGTTAAGGCACGGGAGGTTGTCTATCGTGTCCAGAAGCGTGTGAATGAAGCACTCTGCCTGGGACACGAGTCTGTTAGTGAGCTCGAACTTTTCGAGGATCTCAAGCGGTACTGTGCCGACCGAGGTGTGAGTTCTTTGCGAGGGGTGACAGGTCATCAAATCTGGCGAAGGTCTGATGCAGGGCACTTGGCTCTCTTGACACGCTTCCCACTGCTTATTGCTACCCTGGCAGTCGATGATAGAGCTGAGGCAGCGTTGGTAGCCGGCTCAGAACCTGTGTCAAATCAGGAGGGCCGCTTCTGGTATTCGATTTCCAGGCGCACGGGCTTCAGGCGTTTGCACCTTACCAACGGGTGCGGTGTGCTTCCATGGTCGGTGCACGAAGCAGTTTTCGTTGCTTCGGTAGAGGAGGCCAAGGCAGATGCATGGTGTAAGATTTGCCAGAGAAAGATCGCAGAGGAAGGAGGCTCTGCTTCCTCCTCCTCTGGTAGCTCCAGTAGCACGGCTACGGAGGAGAGTGAAGGGGCTGCTGAGGAGGGCAATCTTCAGGATGGGCCGCCTTCCTTTGAGTGAGGGGAAAAATTTACCGCACTTGTGCGTCAGGTCGGTCCTTACCTCGAGGAAAAATTTACCGCACTTGTGCGCCGTGTCAGTGCTTGCCGCTGTCATGTTGCTGAATTGATTGGTGACTCGAGTGTGCCTGTTTCCTTTTGCGTCAATCATTGCAGTCTTCTGCCGAATGTTGGCATATGGTTTGAGCAGCTGCCACGGCCGAAGGGAAGGTCGTATGTGAGTGGCAGCCAAGCAAGGGTGCCCTTGGATCGAGGGAGATCCGTAGGATTTCAGTGAGGGATGGCGCTCACAGATGAGAATCGAAGGACCTTCTTGGCACAGAATGTTAGTGCCGACTTGGTTTATCTTTGGGAGGAGCTGAATGTCTCTCTGCTACACCAGTACGAGTTGGGGCAGAATTACCGTTCCATGGTCAGGTTCGCTGCACTGGCCGACACACGGGCTGGTGCGAGAGCTGCTTTCGCCAGTGATGTAACGGTGGATCCGGACACTGCTGCCGGCCGGGCGGCTCTGGCAGGACTGGTTGCTGCCTGGCAATCCGCTCTGGACACCACGGAGCATGAGAGAAAGCTCAAGGCAGAGGCACACGTTTTGGGGTTGCCAAAACCCCTTCCGGCCAATGATCGTCTGGCCATGCGTGTAGCTCTTGAAGCTTCTTTAGGATCCTTGGAAGATCGTGAAGAACCTAGCTCAACTTACCTGGCATTGAAAATGGAGGAGGTTGAGGCTGGAGAAATCAAGGCTTCGCTCTTGGATGAAGTTACTTGTACAGTGGATGAAGTGAACGCCAACTTCCAGTCGTCCGTGGACTCCTCCGGCAGGTTGCGCCTCACTAAGGAGCGCAAGAAGGCCAAGCTACCGACCGGGTCTGAAGAGCTCCGTCAGAGGTTGCGAGTGGAGGCTCACACATTTCTGATGCTTGCCGCACGCTTTCGCAACAAAGCATGGTTTCAGGGCTTGAGCTCCAAGGATTTTCTTCTGCATGTTGACTACGTACTGGGCGACAAGATCTACTTGTTGCAGACAGTACGTCCTGAAGGGGGTCCCGCTATGTCTTGGGCGAATCCTTCTTGGCAACTTGTACTTAACTACGAACATCGCTTGAGAAAGGAGGCTTACAAGCAGGCCAGCCGAAACAATCGATCCTTGACCGACACACTCAAGGAGGCCAGGGACAACGCCATGCTCAAAGAGACCTATTTCGTCGGGCCCTTGGCCATGGAGATGGCTTCGCGTGCATCGTTCTCAGCCGGGCCGCCTGCAAAGTTTCAGAAGATTGATGGGGCGCCGCCGCCGCCAACCCCTGATCCTAGCTGGGACCGTGATCGCAAAGGGAAGGGGAAGGGCAAGGGCAAGTTTCTTGGTAAGCCTTCCAAGAATGGCTTCGTCTTCCGCAAGACTCCTGACGGTCGCGAAATTTGCTATGGCTACAACAATGGGTCTTGTCCGGGAAATTGTGGGCGCGTTCATGTGTGTCAACTTTGTCTTAAGCCACATCCCCGCAGCGAGTGTAAGAACAGAGGTGACAAGGCCGATGGGCCAGATTCCAAGAAGGGCAATAAGCCCAGCTGACTCGAAGGTTTTTCTTGGGAAGAGTGGAATTCAGTGCCTGGGATTGCTTCCCGAACTTACAGATTCTTGTATCTCTTCGCTGGGCCTACCCGCCATTCGGATGTGAAGAGCTACCTCGTGGAGCTTTCCCGGAAGCATGATATCAACCTTTTCGGACTGGAGATTGATCTCACTCGCAGTACAGGGCATGATCTTCGGTCAACAAGTTTGTGGGCCACGCTGTCCGAGCTTCTTAAGGAAGCCGATGCCGTTGTGCTGGCCCCTCCTTGCAACACCTTTTCGAGGGCGAGGGCGCGCTGGAGAATATCTCCGGGGCCACCGCCCTTACGTTCACTTGAGTACCTGCATGGCTTTCCTTGGTTGTCTGATTCCAACAGAAATCTTGTTGAGGATGCCAACTTCCTTGTTTCAAAGTCCTTTGAGTTTTGCCAGCTTTGTGTCGAGGCTGGCGTAGCCTTCATCATTGAGCACCCAGAACAGTTGGGAAAGGTGCAGCACATGATTCCTGGGTCCATTTGGGACATGGACGATAGCAAGCATCTGCTCTTGTTCGAAGGCGTGGAAACCTTCGCTTTCTTCCAGTGCCAGTGGGGTGATGCTCTCAGTAAGAAGCCCACCCGGTTTATGGCTTTCCATGTTCACTGGGACTCTTTCACCTTCTTTCCTGGTGCTCATCGTCTGGCTTCGGATGGCTCATATGCAGGACCTCTTCCTCGCCACTGTGGGCATGTACATGAACCTCTTCTTGGGAAGGATTCCGACGGTGATTGGAAAACTTCGCGATCTGCTGCCTATCCTCCTAATATGTGCCATTGGCTGGCCGCCAGCTTGCTTGGTCTTCGCGTTGGGGGGGGTTCTGCAGCAAGTGGCGCCCGCATGACGACCTCCCAAAATCTAGCTGCTGCTGTTTTGCAGCCTCCGGAGCTGTTTGATTGGCAATGGGCTCCCTGGTCCTTGGCAAAGGTGGCACTCCTAGGGGAGCCCTCATGTTCCTTGGAGAGCAAGTCTCGGGAGATCGCCATGTCTGGTAGAATTTCTCAGGCGGACATGTTTGCCCTTTGCGACCTGATCTCCGACGAGGAGACAGGCCGAGGACGCAGGCCAGGGGAGTTGCCTACGGAGAAACTCTTTACCAGCGGGGCTTACGTTCATGGCGGTGTCTGTGGCTTGCGCAAGCACTGCCGGGCCTCTCCTTGGACAACCGCCCTGCTGGCTTGCATCATCAACTGCGTTTGTCCTGGCTCTAAGTTCACTTCTGTCTTGCTGGGCAGGGACATAAAGACGGGGCCGCATAGGGATGAGAACAACGAACCTGGCAGCCACAACATCGTAGTCAAGGCTGCCTCCTTCTCGAGGGGCGGCCTGCTGCTGGAGGACGAGACTGGTGACCAGGAGATGATCGTGAATGGTCAGCTCCGGCAGTTCAGGGTGTTGGGGTTTGTTGAGGGGTTCCTAAAGTTCGACCCTTCGCTCTGGCATGCTACCGAGGACTGGGAAGGCACTCGAATCGTGGTCATCGGTTTCTCGATCAGGGATCCGCATAAGCTTAAGTCCGAGGATCAAATTTTCTTGGAACGGCTTCTAGGTGATGAGGATCATGGGGACACGGGGCCTACACGCTCTACTTCTTCAAAGGTCAAGTCCCCCGACATTGAATACCCATTTCACGGCTACATGGAGGCCGCGAGGAGCTACAACTACGGGGACCCACTCACGGTTAGCTGGCGAGGTCTGCATCAATCCATGTGCGACGGTTGCGGACTGAACAGCCCCGGAAGGTGGCGACCGGGGTCCCGAGGTCTGGGACTTCCTTGGGAGGCGAGTGATCTCGCGCAGAGGATTCACGGACTGCTTTTGAGGTTCGTCTCGGAGAACATTGATGACACCAAGAAGGCTTTCTTCCGTTTGGCTCTGGGCAGGATGTCTTCGGCCCCCTTCAGTCCGGAAAGCATGGAGCACTTGCGTGATGAGTGGTTTCGGCTGCTTCCTGACTCCAAGGCCGCCTCTAAGGTGGCGGAGGGCCAACCATTCTACTTGGAGGCGCTTTCGCAGACTAGTCGGCTTCTTGGGGATGAGGACTGGGGGATTCTGACGAGGGATCCGGAGAACTACGCTTCGGGGCGCAAAGTGGGCGTCGACTCACCCTTCCCGAGGGTCCCTCTGGTGTTCCGGCCGAAGAAGAAGTGGAGAGACTATGATGATTCACCTTATCAGGCGATCAACGCTAACTACTCCTCTGCAGCTCTGGTTCCGGATCAGTTGGAGGCACAGTTCGAGGAAGAAGAAGCTCTTGGTATGATGTTTCCTTTGAGCGAGGCTGAGGCACGGAAAAGGTTTGGAGACAAGCTACATGTGGCGTCATTAGGAGCCATCATGAAGGACGATGGCACGGTCCGAACCATCTTTGACGGTACCCACTCCGTGAAGCTTAACAATCGGATTCGCATTGATGATCACTTAGAATTCCCTGGACCATCCTGCGTGGGACGTGCCATGGAGGAGATGGAGGACGATGGTTATCATCTGCTGATTGGGGTGGCCGCGGATGTGGCTAAGGGCCACCGAAGGTACAAACATCGCTCGGAGGACCATGGCTACCTCGGCTGTAGGGCGCGCGAGGATGGTCCCATTTGGTTCAACCGGGTAGGGACCTTTGGCATGGCATGCGCTGCCTATCACTTCGCCAGGCTTGTTGGGCTCATTGGGAGGTGTGCACTGACAGTTCTGATGACGAGCCCGCTGTTCCAGTTTCTCTTCGCTGATGACTTGAAGTTCTTCAGTGGGGGTCCCCGTAAGTATGATCATGTCTGGACCATTCTGGTTTTCTGGCTCATGGTTGGGACACCCTTCAAGTGGAGCAAGTTTCGTGGAGGGGTGCAACTTGATTACGTGGGATTCGCCTTTGACTACTTCCGCTTCTCCATGGGTCTTTCGGAACGGAGGGCGAACTGGATCATCGAGTACGTGAATGCTGCTCGAAGTGACCGTGGTTTGCTCGACCATCGGAGGTTCGTGGAGTTTGTGGGCCGTCTGGTGTACGCTGGCCAGGTCCTTTACTGGCTTAGGCCATTTATGGCTCCATTGCATCGCTGGAAGGGTGCTCAGGTTCCGGGCACGGTCGCAGTTGCGCCAAGGCTTGTGATGATCACTCTGGAGTACATTCGCTCGATGCTTCTTGAGGGCCACGCTCAGGTTTCATGTCGGGGTGCACGCCCAGCCGAAGCTGAGTCCTTTCGCACGGATGCCAAGGCGGCCGAGGACTTTTATGTTCTGGGAGGTTGGGAGACTTGCCACTCTCTTGAACCTGGGCGCGCTAGGTGGTTCTCTCTTAAGGTGCATGCGCAAGAGATACCGGCCCTTTTCAATGACAGGGGCACCGCTGAGGGAATGAGCACTGTGGCGGAGCTGTTGGCCACCCTTGTGGCTTTACACGCATTTGGCTGGCTAGAGACTAGAGGACGATGCTTTTCAGTATCGGCTGGCACGGACAACTTGGCTAATGAAACCGTGACGGCCAAGAATAGCACCTTGAAGTTTCCGCTGGCGTATGTGCAGATGCAGTTGTCTCATTCTTTGTATAAATGTGGAGGTCACTTGAAGCTCAATTGGAGGCCGCGTGAAGTTAACACCATCGCGGACGACTTGACAAACGAATCGTTTGGAGCTTTTGATCCCAATCTCCGCATCCTCGTCCGTTTGAAGGATTGTGATCTTAGCTTGCTCCGGAAGTTGTCTCAGCATCATGATGAGGTCTCCAGCTGGAGTCAGAGGGGAGTATGCAGTGCCCCATCTTCTCTTCGCAAGCGGAAGGTTAAGTATGACAAAACCAAGTGGGGCTGAAGGTTGGCCCTCGCCTGTGGGGGGGGGTCCTGACCAAAGGTCACTCGGGCCTCCCTCGTAAGAGCACAGCGCTACGATTGCACATCCAAGGAAAAGTCTGCTCATCCGATGTTGCATTCCGTCTCTTGTGATGAGCTTGCTCCTTATGTGGGATTCGAATCTTTTATATTGCATATATTGCGGAGTTATTTATGGCGATAACTTTGCTCGAATGTTTTGCTTTCAGCAATTTTGGAAAAGCTTCTTGGGCTTGCCCAAAGGCATTTTCCAAATCATGAAAGGGGCTGGTAGGGTGGGCCTCTTTGGAAACCAATGATTTTGGTTTTCCCATTTCTTGAAGCATTCTCTTTTTGCATGCTAGGTTTTGCATGCTCACGTCTTGCCCTTTTGAATCGTGTTGGACGATTGACATCTTTGCTTCATATCAGTTATGCTCGAGCCCGGAGGTGGGGCAATGTTTTTGTTCCCGCCCATCCCACCCTTTAAGATTCTTTTCGCGCTTGGGAGGGGTGTTTTCCTGACAACGGGGGGGGTCCTGACCAAAGGTCACTCGGGCCTCCCTCGTAAGAGCACAGCGCTACGATTGCACATCCAAGGAAAAGTCTGCTCATCCGATGTTGCATTCCGTCTCTTGTGATGAGCTTGCTCCTTATGTGGGATTCGAATCTTTTATATTGCATATATTGCGGAGTTATTTATGGCGATAACTTTGCTCGAATGTTTTGCTTTCAGCAATTTTGGAAAAACGTACAATCTTCCGAGTCTATCAGTCCTATGGAATGAAGGTCAACCCCCAAGTATCTGGTGTGATAGTAGCGGTGCGAGGACTGGCAGCCAAGGACATCTTTCAACTGCATGTGCAGGGACCTCCAGACAAACGACTGTTGGTTGTTGGGCCGCCTCATGATCAGATCAAGATCCCTCTGAAGACCTCCATGCCGTATCTGGGGGTAGTTCTCTCGTGTGCTCAGTTTGAGGATGAAACTTTGACAGCTCGCGTCAAGTCGGCACATACAACCAGGGGTCGAATTAGACGCATCCTGCATGCACGCAGGTATCTATCCCAGAAGCGGCGGCAGCGGCGACTTCACCTTTACATGCTGTGTGTCAGAACAACGGTACTGTATGGTCTTGCCCCGGTTGCGTAAGCTGGCGACCTTTGAGGCCAAGCATATACGGGCTATCGTTCGAAGTCCTGTGCATCTTACTCGAGAACCCACGCACAGCTTGTACGGTCGATTGAAGCTCCTGCAACCTGGGCAGTATCTGCGCGAGCTCCTTCAGGATCTGGTGCGGAGGGCATGTGCTTCCGGGAGCGCCGTGATCAATACCAAGCCGAATTTGTTTGGCCCCAGGTGTGTGCCCAGTATGCTCGTCGACATGAGTTGCCGACGGAGAGCGGCACTATGGCAGATTCCTCCAAGCGGCTCCGTGGCAGTGATGATCGCGAAGGTCTTCGTGATGATCCTCCGACTCCTCGCATGCCGTCGACGCCTGGAGGGCCAGTTCACACGAGCCCACCACCGAGCCCGAGTCCTCACCAGTCGGCTGGGCATGCTCCTGTGCCGGGCACAGGCTTCATGAAGGGTGTGCGCGAGTTCCGCTCGACGGTGCCCGAGGCACCGCACGGTCCTCCGCGACCACCTCCCGTGAACTATCGCTAGCCCCAGCTGAGCCAGCTGCTTCCGGCTGCTGCAGGTTGTTCGTAATCTGTTTCACAAACTGCTGGATGACTTCTCCTTCCAAACCAGAGCCATCCGGAACATCAGACCCAGCATGTTCACGGCCGTTGGGTGTTGGGTGGGTTTTTGTACCCACCGGCTCGAAAGTGAGCACGAAGTCTTTCTCGGTTCGCATCTGCGATAACTCGTCTTCGTGTCTCATAGACACTCTGGCCACCAAGCGGATCTGTTCCCAGAGCCTTTCCAGCTCCTTCCGCAGCTTCTTGGTCTCATCCTCCGTGTGCCAGTTGGTCCAGCGATCGTCCTGCCTTTTCCACCAGGTCTGGGGCGATAGGTCCCCGTGGAGGGAGCCGCGTGTCCGCCGTCTCGGTAGGCTCCGGTGCCGGGCCTTTGGTCCTGCCCTTTGCCTGCTGGCTTCGGAAACTTCGCTGGCTGCTTCCGGCTGTCCCTGCAGATCCTCGTCCCCGCTGCGGCTGCCAGAACCTCCTGCACTTCCTGCACCGCTGACATCGCACCCGCCTCCATAAGCTCCGCCGCATCGGTGGGAAAGGCCATGCTTTGAGGGGCCGTCCAAGGACCGAAGTTCGCGGTGATGGCATCGCATAAGACATAGCTGGTGGAGCACTCTGCATCTGTGGGTCCCAGGCTCGACAGGGTCGGGAGTGCCCTTCACGCAAAGTCAAACTGTGAGCCATGGCATCATCAAGGTGTAATGCGAGATCCGGATGAATCGAGCGAACATGTCTGGCCAGGGCACCTGGTGCTTTAGCAACCCACTGGCCACAGAGAATACAATGATGTTGCAGAGTACTTTTCATGTTCGGTATAAGCAGTATGTCCTTCCACTGCGAAGTAGCGAGGAGAACCTGTACAGAGTCCCGCTCGAAAGGCGGAATGTTGTCCTGTGCTACCGTCGTGGTGTCGGGGGGTTCCGCAGCGAACTGCAAAGCAGACCCAGCTAACACTCCTCCCGCAGCGAGCTGCAAAGCAGAGGCGTGTGTGGTTTGCCGCGAGTGCAGGACAGTACAGCTAGTGATGATGTGTATCCGGAACTGATGCCATGTAGCCAAAGTAGCTCCACAATGTCTACAGATAGGCATTTGATCAACACTATGATCTTGGACCCTGGGGCTATGTAATCGTTTTGCTGAGCCCTGAGACTTAACCTGAATAGAGACTCCATGACTGCGCTTGTGGTGCACTCGCATTCCCGCCAGGGTGTCAAAGTACTGTCCACAAGTAGGGCACGACACCTGTTGTGATCCGGTGGCTTCCTGTAGGCCATGCTGCAATAATTGAAGTTCGTTATCAAGCTGCGCGATGGCTTCCATGAGCCATGGTTCAGGTTGCCGGCTTTTGCGACTTTGCCGGGTAAGCTTGGCGCTCTCACCTTCGCCCAGGAGGAAGGCGCGGGTCATGATCTCCGTGGCGAGCTCCTTGTCTTGCTTGGTGAAGGAGATGATGTCTCCTCCGGGGGCAACCACATGCTGCCACTCGCTGCTCTGCTTGACATTGGCCGACATGGCACGGAAAAGTACAAGTCGGAGGGCGCAGTAGGTTCAAAAGCTTCGGATCACGCTCGACGTGGCTGCGTCAACACTGCTCATCACGATACGAACAGACATGAATGCTGTACACCCATAGGCACGTGTTAGCGAAACCCCGGCTAACTATAACCCTAGTTGGCTCCGGAGCGTTCTTTGCGCCGGGCCCGCTCTGATGCACGAAGTTGCAGGACTTCCCCTTCGTCGCTAATTTGATACTGGCCTGCTCTCATGCAAGCTCTGATCAAGTCCATTGCCTCAGGAGACTCCTTCGTAAGACCATCAGCTATCATCCGATCAGTAGGGATCCACCTCAAGTGTGCATGGGTCTTCTCTAAGCTATCCCTGACTATAACCACATCAAGGGCAGTGCGCTTATCATCAAGAGTTGGGGCTGATTTGGATGACAAGTGGTCGTATAAGGATTTACAGTCAGTGAGGGCAATGCTGCTGCGAAGGGCTGCCTTCTGCCAACAGCAACGGAGCGAAGATTTGCTGTCCAAGGCTTCGGACAGCAGCAAAAGGATCCACTCGAGCATACCGGTTGCAGAGGACATGGCTTGTGCTTCGGCGCTAGGGGTAGAATTCACAACACGTGGAAGCCGATAGCTACGCCAGTACGCTGGTGTCCATCTATACATAAGAAACCGGTATTCATTGCTTTATCAGTGAACCCAACCACATAACCGGCTTGAGTGGCACCTTCTCGCCCATTCGCATAGGCGGCGTCGGAATGCACCATGACACTCAGACCCTCAGGGTCAACAGGCTGAAACACAAGCGGGATTTGGGTATTCTGCCTTGCCCTGCGGATTGCATTGTTCGCTGCCAGAGCCTCTGACACTCGCGGTTCTGGAAAAGCTTGCTGTGAGAAGTATACCTGCGTCGACAGGTCCGGTCGGGACTGAGTCGCAAGCCAGTTTAGGCCTCCGACTGCCGGCTACGGCTGAGGTGAAGTGGTCGGAGCTTCTCCACAAAGCCATCTTGGGACATAGAGATTGCAAAGGTCTTGAAGTCTTGCTTGTACCGGGCACCACAGAAGTCTCCGTCCCCTAAGCGCCACTTACGAAACTCAAACCGCTTACGGAGAAATTCAAGAGCTTGCTCGTACTTCTCTCCACTGCCGCCTGTGCTTGCTATTTAGGGCTGAGGGCTTGGGGCTCGAGACTTACTTACTGAGACAAAGCGGGGACCATGATTTGGCCATACCAACGGTGGAATGCAGAGAAGGAAATCCTTCCTGGAGACAGCTGAGCCCACAGCCTATGAGGGCCAATGGCAGTCCAGATATAAGTTCGGGAGTCGTGCCTTTGTTTCGGACCTAGGCCACACACGGCAGCCCATCCGCATCCAAACTCATCAGCATGGTTTGCAGGCAAGTATTCTTGGTTGGCACAGACAAAGCGGATCTCGTACAGACGTTTTGCATGCGCTTCAACAGGCGCCAGATGTTCTATTCTTTCAACTAGAGTCTAACTAGAGCGCTGGGCTCGGAGTGATGCAAGTATTCGCAAGCTGGCCACAGATTTTCCTTTTGAGGTTGGAACTACTGTTGATCTGCCTTGTTTTGCGCAACCCCAGGGCTTGGAGCTCAGGTGGCAGCCATATAGACTGATCACGGTGGCATTGCATACTGGACCTTCCCCTCGCACAGGTCATTATCGAGCCATTTTGGGTGGCCTGAGACAACGTCCAGGGAGTGGTGATTGCTGGGTATCTATGATAGCTGACGATGATAAGGCTATACAA